GTCTTTTTTCCTTTGGTTCCTAAATCAAGTATAAGAGGCATTTAATCATCATTTGATAACTAAATTAAAATTCATTTCCATTAAGACCATACCAGAGTTCTTACTATCACCCATGGCTTTTTCTAAAGCTCTTTTTTTGAGTTATATCTTTAGTTCATACTACTTCTTGGAACTCCCACAAGCCTGAAATCTAATGCTGGAAGTAACGTTCCTTTTCTTTGTAAATATAACTCTTATGACTCCAGAACTACTTACCTTCCCCTACTGTCTTCCATCTTTCCTATGCTACCACCCAAAGATCAATTAATAAGACTGTATTCATCTTATCCAGTTGTACAACATGATATATTATTATCCTATTCTTTTGCAATTCTAGTCTGATAAAAGATCTATTATCATTCAAGAACACCTCTCCCACTCCGATTTCAAGTTGTTTTAATACAGTGTTGTTGTCTGACACACACATGTTTCCTATACCAACAATGAAGTTTTTCTGTGACTATTTGTACCTGAAAGTTTGTTTATCTAGAAATATCTATTGTTACTCCTGATCTGGGAAAGCAGATAATAAACAATAGTCCCAAAATGTGTAGTGAGGCTGGATTTATACAGAAAATGAATGAGGTCAGGTTTAGCTGCTCCATTTATTTTTGCACCCTCAACAATCAGTGCCAATGGCTATGTGGTCAGTTTTGCTGTTGTTATGTTGTGGCCGTCCTAGATAGCTACTGCCTAAGAGAGGTTATGATTGTGAAGCTTGTTAACATTTCATGTGTCAGAAATAGAAGTACTGTCATTATTAGTATGTTTTCCACGTGGTGCTTCTGACTGACACTAAAAACTGTAAAGAACTATTCTAATTCAGAGCTAGTTCGTTGGTCAGGTTATGTCAGTTATGAGTTGGCTGCATCTGCTGGCAAAGCAAATAGCTTGCAGTGCACGGATTTATGAGACATTAGCAAAAGACAGAAGAAAGAAGAGGGAGGGCAATGGTATTCAGTATGTGTCCTAGTCCATTTGAGCTACTATAACAAAATACCACAGACTGAGTAGCTTATAAACAAAAGAAATTTATCTCACAGTTCTGGAGGCTGAAAGTCCAAGATCAGGGTGCCAGCATGGTCCAGTGAGGGTCCTATTTTGGGTCCCAGAATTTTCATTGTATCCTCATATGGCAGAAGAAGCTAGGGATCTCTCTGGAGCCTCTTTTATAAAGTACTCATCTCAACCATGAAGCTTCCACCTTCACGACTTTTAAGCGCCTCTCAAAGACCCCACCTACTAACCCCATTGTCTTTGGGACTTAGGATTTTAATGTATGAATTTTGGGAGGACACAGTCAGATCATAGTGGTTTGGAACAAACTCCTATTGGAGGCAGAGGGTAGAGGACAGCAGAGTCCACAGTAATAGAAGAATCTTATATACATGGGGTCCACTGAATGGTAAAAATGCAAAAAATAAAAATGACCAGGCATTTCTAAGCAACCACTATATGCTTCTGATCTCCTGCTGAGGAAAGGAATGCCATATTTCGCTCCTAGCTTATTAGAATTTGTTTCTCTCTTTTTGAGGGTAGGGGCTATAAGAAAACATCTCTCATTCTATAATCTAAGTCAGTATAAGAACCATTATTTTATAACTTGAAAGAGTTAAGTATTTAGGAAAAGAGAGAATGAACTCCTAAAAAGGCAATATTCTGGATTTAGTTCCCTGGTTTCATTGCAAGGTGTGTTGTTAACTATTGCTTGAGTTGTCACTTTCAGATTTCACATCACTGATGCAAGGAAGTCTGGTTTCAAGCAAGTCTGGGATAAATATGAAAAATCCAGTGGGACAAGGGTCATCCTGTGAATAGGCTCATGTGCACATGCCTGAAGCCTGTCAAGGATTTTCTTTAACACAGAATAACAATTCAGTTTGTCAAATACATGTTTGATAAAAAAAGAATGATTTTCTTTTCAGAAAATATAATTATATCCAAACATATTAGGATAAGTCTGTTTCATAAAAAAAGTGTCATCAGTTAAAGAGCTCTTTTCTTATTTGTTTTTAGTCAAGGAGTGAAATTACATTAGGGTCAAACATGATGGGATTTCTAGGCATGGTTCAATTTTTTTGTATCTAATACCTAAGGGTAGACGTATTCACCTTAAAAGGGTCCCCACAGTAACTAAACCACCCGCTGTTGTAAACACCTGTTTATATATCTGATTCTTCTTGAAAGATCTTCAAAGATTATGTGTTGTCCAGCTTAGCCCCTAATCACCTAGTATAGAACTCATCTTTGTAGTAAGTAATGACTATTTTCAGAATTGGTTTAAATAGCTGAGAAACCTTCCATCTACCACTACCCCCAGGATCCCTGTAGGAAAATCACAGAAATACACCTTCCGGAGATATACATCATCTCAGAAGTCTCTCTCCCTCTATGTCAGCTTTGGAAATGCTGCCCCAGTCATCTACCAGGTGAAGACAGGTTCTTAAATGGTGCTTGATGAGTCAGTACTTCTAAAACTCCCAACTATGGAAGAAAGGAAGCTTTGGACTCTTCCAGTCATCTCAGAGAGATAACGTCCTCTAGAGGAAGAACATTCCCCCAGAGAAGATGCTTTCCTTTTTTTTTGACCATAATCACCTGCCAGGCTGATCGCAGCAGCAGGAGTTGCTGCTGCTAAAGTGTGACTGATGTGCCACTTTGGTAAGAATTCACATAACACTGCTGGACACGGGCCAGGAATGGGTCTGCATGCACAGAGCATGGAGGCACTGCATGATTTAGCACCATCTGGGGCTTGCCTTCAGACATGTTAAAGGGCAGAGAATTGGAACCCAACTCAGAACGACAGTCATAAGGAACATAAGCAAACAGTGCTGTGAAGTAACTGAGTATACTCCCTTGATATTTCCTCCCCAGAGCCTAGCCAGATGAAGACCCTAACTAATCTTTTCTCAATTCTTTAGTAGCAGAATGAATCTTGGTTTTGGGAGATGGGGCACAAAAGGGATTTAATAGTCTTGGGAGTTGCTGAGTCCTCTGGAGAATGTAGCCATAGCAGAGACATGGGCAAATTGATTTAAGCCATAATGCTGAAGCTTGCAGGACAGTGAAACTGTGAATTTTTATACATAACATATACTAATTGGTTAAAAATAAATGTATTGATGTAATGCAGAAAAATAGGCAATAACCATTGTGGTATTTTAGCATAAATATTGATAGATTTGCAATATGAGACAGATGACTAAATGCTGTCATATCCTTGATATTTGATAACCTGTTTTCTTGTGTCAGAGTTAGAGGTCATTAGGTTTATTGCTCAAGTTAAAGTTATTTTTAATATTTATTCAACTCAACGTTTTATTAATCTGATTAAAGTTTGAGTTTTGGATAAGCCAAATTCAGCTATTACATGAAATACAAATAATTCCCAGATGATCAAGCATGGTTGCTTATTTTAATCTGCATTTTACTACAGTATATTTTATCTAAATTCAGATGCAAGTCACATAACATAATGCAAAGGAGTTCAACCTAAACTCTCAGGGGAATGCCATTTATTAGCATCTTCATGATTAAAGAAATATTTAGTACTAAGACTTGAACACATCAAAGAAGAAAAGCTAACTGCCATTTGAGCTATGAGCTTACATACCCCATATTGTGATCAGCACATTTCTTTCACAATAAACTTTGGGGTTAGTTAGGGAGAAGTTATTATTTGGTTGGCATCTCATTATAGCAGAATTCATATTTAGAGAGAGAATTTTTTGACAGGGCCACTGAAGGGGACTTAAAAATCCCTGTGTTGTGGAGATGTCACCCGAACTCCATTGACCTATGAACTATGTATTATATATCCAAGATACCACTATTAAAGTGCTATGTAGAACTCAAATATAAAATGAAGTATGTCCATATGGCCTTGCCTTTTAAGAAATTTAAAACAATTCAGTTTATTTGGGTAGACTCGTATGTATGGAAGCTGCTAGAGAGAACAATGCAAGAATATGGTTTTGGTTTTATAAATTCTACAACAATTTGGAGAGCAACATGTAGAGTAAGAGGCAGAGACAGAGAGAGAGGAGAGTCATTTAAGGAGAGTAGAGTAGGAGAGACAGGACACAGGTCAGACTTAAATGAGGAGGGAAGGATCTGGTTCTCAGAGATAAAAGGGAATGGTGGCCATTGGGGGAAGATTCAGGAAAAGTGTGAAGCAAAAGCGAGACTGTCAAGCATTGAAAACAGTAGAGCTATGCCAGCCTTTCTGAGAGTAGGGGCCTCTGCTGGTAAGTCTGGAGCGAGAATGTTGAGTAGTCAGGGTGGAATCAGGTAAAACTGAATCCTATATGGAGGCCCAGAAAGGTTAAAGGAGTTTCCAAAACACATTAGTAAAGTGTGGCAAAGATAAGACTCAACTTTAAATACGATCCTCAGTATTATACTGCAGGCTTTTTCCAGGTTTAACAGCAAGTCATCTGTCTGGGTTATATCTACAAAGTAGCAGTAAGTGTTGACCCTGGACTCAGAACCATCCCACCACAGTTGTAGGATTAACTTTCATGAAAGTTACCTAATAATATCATCTGAAATGGACTAGACATATTCTAGCCAACTTTTTAGAAATCATGAGTTTGTGTTTTTAAAGGAATCGTTATATTTAATTCCCTTTACTTTTTCTTGACTTTAACAGTTGAGATACCATTGCTGTAGTGTGTTTAATTTTCTAAAATACAAGTCAGTGTATGAATAGGACATGTGGCTATCTAAGCTTGGTTTGTTATATAGCAAAAATAATCCCATGGGAACAGTCTACCGCTGTCATACAACCTCTCTTCCCTAAGATCTACTACTGTAAGGAAATATAATTGCACTATTATCATGTTATATGCTAACAGCAGCATGGTCAAAACTGTCTATGTGTTGCCATGACAACCCCATCTAAGATAAAAATGGTATTCACAACACGTATTTACCTAGAGTTTATTTTTGTCCTTTAGGCTCTTCAGTGGCCAACAAGGAATTATTATTCAGAATTTTAGCACAAGATCCATTCTCACTGTTACCAATGTGACACAGGAGCACTTCGGCAACTATACTTGTGTGGCTGTCAACAAGCTAGGCACAACCAATGCGAGCCTGCCTCTCAACCGTAAGTAACACAGTGTTGCCAAAATGCTCCCAGGGCCTTTTGGCTCGTATCTATAGAGCTCAGCCTGATGTGACATGTTCCTTACACAATATCCTTACACAGGAAATTTGGCCCCCAAATAATCAGGGTGTTGGAGAATTTTATAATCCCTATAGAATTCCATATGTGCTTAGAAAAATATCTTAGATCTGAGAAAAGGGAAAAATCACATAAATAATAGGGTCCACTAAAAACATCTTCTGACTGAAGACAGTTGGTTAGTAGAATTTAGTTTTTGTTTTGTTTTTAAAAATGTGTTATATTTCAGCATAGATTAATTTAGATTGAATTTACTCTTGGTTGGCTTTCTCTAGATGTTTATCTTGAGATAGTGAGAATTGCACATGCCATAAACAAAATAAAATAGTAAGTAAATGATCATGGACAAAATATTTTATCCATATAGATAATGTTTTTACTCAAAAGTGTATTTTGAAATACAACTTAAGGTTTTACTAAAATAGGTACTTTATTTCTAATGCGTCTTAGTTCCAAAGGACTAGAAATGAAAAAAGAAGAGCAAACACAAGGATTAGTGGAAGGGAAAGAAATATATGTTAATGTTTTCTCCTACAATTAGTTTTAGTGCTTTCCAGAAGCTGAGTAACCAACAAATTGTTATAACCATAAAATATTCCTGATTTTGAAGTGGAGTGTTTCTCAAAATGTTCACAGAAAACTATAGAGAATACACTGGTTTTTCAGTTCCACAAAGTTATCTGAACCATACTGATCTTTGATAATTTATATTTTTATAGTAACCTGACATATGTATATTTATGTTATCATCCTGTGTTAGTAAGCTGTCTCTGAAAAATACAAATACTGTGAGTTCATCACAGACATGATCATTTCTATTTTGCAGAAATGGGGAACGGGATATGTAATATCCTTACTGTTTAAAAACATACTATAATAAAAAGTTTCATGATTTATGAACTCTGAATTGCCATGATTTAAGAAACTCTGTTGTTAAATAAAATATATCAGTTGGTTGTTAATAGAAAATAATCATTTGAAAATGATTTGTGCTATATGTACTTTTAAAACATCACATCATTTATTATTCCAGCTTAATATTACGAAGTATTTCTTAGTATCCCGCACTCTGAAAGAAAAGCATTGCTTGCTGTGCAATAGCCAAAGTATAATATACTTGCTTAAGTTTCTTCCATGAGGATTATTTATTTTGTGTAATTATGAATAATATCATTGAAAATATTATAGAGCAGTATGAATTCCAATTTAATGTAAATATTGATACTTCTTTTGGTATGTTATTAATATTTTAAATGTTTTAAATATTTAAGAACCTGAAGGAGTAAATGAATTAAACAAAATAAAGACAAATTTAAGGCTTAATAACACATTAACTTTTGCTATTTAAATTTCTAAATCACACTCTGATTTTCAAAACCGAAGCATTAATGACTGTGACGAATTAGGAACAATTATCACTGATCTGTTTGCTTTACCCTGGTAACCTTAGTGCAGTCCTCTGGATATAATGCACTGCTGAAAAGGCTCCTAAATGTGGTATCTTCAGAATGGACTCTAATTGTCTTCATTTGCCACTGGCTTTCTGTAGGTAGAAGTGCTAAGAATTACTAGTGCAATTTGATTAATTCGTTAAGAAAGACATGCAAATCTTGTCTGTAATTTTGAACACAGCCCTGAAGTTTGAAGAAATATCTGTATATTCAAAACTCTTGTATGACCTCACCGGAAACTCTTATTGCACTAAGCATTTCTATTTTTATTACTTTTGTATAGTTTTTATCTCTCCACCAAATTATATTTGTTGAGAAGACAGTATCAATATCTGATTAATCATTTTATCTCCCATATCGCTATGCACAGTGTCTGCTATTTAATAGACAATTAGCAAATCTTTAGTGAATAAGTGAATTAGTTAAACATTGAATAAGTGATGGAATGTATCATAAATAAATGAATGAATGAACTGAGTTTTAGCTGTAGAATGTGTATTATAATCTCTAGCTATACAAGGCAATATCACAGTGATGACAACACTTATTGTGAGCTTACTATAGAATAGATCCTATTCTAATCTCTTCATATGGATTTGTTCCTTTAATACTCACACAATCCAAAAAGGTAAATTCTGTAATTCCCTTCTTACAGATGAGGAAAACAAGATGAAGAGAGTGAAAAGCTTGACCAAAGTCAAATGGTTCATAAGTGACAAAGCAAAAATCTGAATCCTGACAGTCTGGGTTCAGGGCCTCAGCTTTTAACTTCTATATTTCACTGTCTCCCACTATGATAAACATAAAACCATCGATGGAGATAAATTTTATCATATGCAAACATATTTTGGAAAGATATACCTCTACATGTAACATGCTTACCCTTCTTAGGGTTTTTATGAACTTAAATAATTTAAGGTTCTATTCTTCAATAGATAAAATCTCTATTTAAATAAATGTTTAGAAATAAACAACATCCACCAGATATAAAATTTAAGTAATATGAAAGATGAATGGGGTTAATGTTTGACTGAAAAATTATTAAAAATGAGACTCAGAGACATTTAAACACACATTTTTATGGGATTTTAAAACTCCCTGGAATGGTACAGTTATCCAAGACAGGCATTGTAAGTCTTCATTGAAATCTTCAGCTTTCTTAAAGTTCTTATGAAACTAGCTGGAGAGAGCAATGTGTCCCTTAATAAGAATTCCTCTCGTATATTCACAAGGTCTGTGGATGGGAAGGTCTTCAACCTCTAAACTGATCCAAAACTAGTGGCCAGTCCTAAGCTGATCCTAAGCCTATGACCTGCTAAAGAATTTTAAAAAATCTTTTATTGACTATCAGCCCTTTCTATAGTCAAGGGAGTGTGTAAAACTAACTCGCCCATCTTCTAATCTAGGAGAAAAGAGTTAGGCTCCAAAGAGTCTGCCACATGTGTCCATGATGATATGTGGAACATACCATGAGTAAAAAAAAAAAATCATATTTTCATGATTTGTATCCATGAATAGTTAATATGCTCAAAGAGAAGGTAATCATAAATGTGAATCTCCTAGTATAGTGCTTATACATAGCAAACACTCTATTGAGTGTTATCCACTGAGAATCAGGTCCCCATCTATAACTATTTAGGATAAATCCTGACTCTGTTACAATCTACTCCTGATTTGTAATAATCTACATTTTCCAGATCAACAAGAAAGCAAAAGGCAAGAAGTTGTAGTTAGAGTCCTGCCATAACTAAGACCATCCAAAAAGGAATGTAGCACTTTTTGGTGTATAAATGTGTGTGTGTGTGTTTCACATAAAGGGAGACAAGCAGGTCATAATGTGAACCACAGTTCTACCGCATATAGTTGTGAGGTTTTGAGTAAGTTACCTAAATGCCAAAGCTTCAGTTACTTCACTTATAAAATGAGAGCAATAATAGCTCCCACCTACGGGATAAAAATTAAATGGGAGGATGCATGTAAAGCGCTTAACACTTAGCCTGGATCAAAGTAAGCATTGAATAAATGCTAGTCATTGTTATTATGTCACATCCCCAAAGAACACTCAGTTCAATTGTTTTCAAAAACTATATATAGATGGCTGAACTTATTTGATGACTGACTGTCCAGTACTTTACTGAGGGTTTAGAAAGTAAGTTGTCATTGGCAAGCCAGGGAGAAGGCATGCAAATTTGATATAATGTCCCAACTCTAGCTCATAACTTAACCTCATCCCTTGCTCAGTGCATGAACCAGACTTTATGGCACTAATTCCAGGTTAAATATGATGTTCACAGCATAGAGGTTCAGACATCTAGGAGATTTAAAGAGTAAAGGCAGAAGTAAAACGATTGTTCTATGAGGCTCTGATCATTTATTCAATAGCAATATTCATTCATCAAATATATATATTGACTGCCTACAATGTACAAAGCACTGTGCTAGATGTTGGAAAGAAAAGTATTCATAGAAAGGGAACTTCCTCAAAGAGTTCTCAAGTGAATGAGCGGAGAGATACAAGAAACAGATAACTGTAACACAGTATAGTCAACAGTAGCATACAAGGGCAGAGAAGAGCCTCTTAATCCAGTTTGAGGGCCATGAAATGACTGTCATCTAGAGTAGGTATATCACCATATGAATTATAACTAAGCTAAAACTCAAAATATTATTTTAGCCATCATTGTCTTATTTTCAAAGGCAGAACTTTGCAGAGTACATTCAACAACAATCATAAGCACAATGTAGTGACACAGATGAAAGAATGATATACGCAGTCTTAATGACTCAGGGCAAGCTATAGAGGAGACCCTTGAAATAAGGATGTGATTGGGTTGAGCCTGGGTGTGGGAATGGGAGAGAGAAAAATACTCCTGTATGGAACAGCTCATGTAAAGACATGGCAGTATGAAGCAATCTGATACATTTGAAGACATGGTAGTATTTTAATATGGTTAGAGTAAAAGGTGGGAGAAGAGAATGTTAACAGATGAGACTGGACAAGTTGGGGGACTTAGGACAGAAAGGACTGCAGATGAGTTTGGACTTTATCCTTCTGGTTTTGGAGAGCCACTGAAGCATTTTAATAAAGGAAGGACATAAACTGATTGAGTTTCTGAAACACTTTCTTAGGCAATGTGGAGGGCCAACTGCACAAAAAAGAGTAACAGAGATGAGAGAGATAATTAGGACAGTTAATGACCAAATCTGAAGAGAATGGGAAGGAAATTGTGGGAATTTAGATAACTTCCAAAGTTTAGTTTGGGTGACATTAACCAAGCTAGAACATAACAGGAGGATTAGCCATTTTATATTTGGGGAGAAGGTGGAAATTGAAAAAGAGAAATGTTTTTAACTTTAGACATACTCAGTTGGAGGCAGTGTCCAATAGGTAGCTGCACTTTATAAAGTCCAGAATGGAGATATGATCTGGAAGGTCTCAGCATGGACATGGTAGTTTCCACTCTGAGAGTA